AGGTGGGTGTCACCTAGGCTCACGAGCTTGTGTAGTGCAGGCGTGCAACAAATTCCACTGTGAGTTACATCGCTACAACATGGCTTGCCTGACAGGAGATCTTGCGAGCGATGATGCGGATTCCTGCGAAGCCTGCACTCGTCACCAAAAGCCTGGATGAGCTGCCAGTTGCTTCCTCCGTCTTTGTCGCGACGAGGTCGCTGAGCCTGCGCAAATTGCAACCGTCGGCTCACTGATGGCCATTGACCATCATTCTCTGAGATGCCTTACACCGGAAAGTGGCAGGGCTCAAACACACAAAAGCGGGACGCGCAAGCCCTTTTGCACTGCACCCTGTCCCAAGCCTGCAATGGCTGCGGCGAGCGGTCGAGATGCTTGTGCACCTGGCAGACAGAGGGCTTTCTGGGACGTTTCCAGTCCTGCCCCCTATGGAGAAAGCTAGCATCACGACTGCAAAGCTTTCTGGCCTTTACGCCATAAAGCTTTCTTCAAAGCAGCCACTTTGCGAAGCTCGCGGGCTTCGTCATTGTCAGCGAGTGCCCATTCGCCTTCGGCGATGACTTTAGCAAGCACTCCGTTGTGACCCCACTTTGTGAGACCATCCCCGACCATCTCAGAACCCGGCACCCAGCGGATGTAGCAGCCCTTGTCGGCTTCCAGGACAGCTTGGCGGAGGACCGCAACATCAATCGCGATCTTCCGATCACTCGGCAAGGTCTCGCTCGACACAGCATCATAACCAGTCTTCGCATCCGTAGCCAGGATGTGACGCCATCGACCCTTCCATCGCTGGATCTCGAAGGTGGAGTCAAGGAGCTCGGCCAGCACCGCCCGCACGAAGTCGCCATGCTCATAAGCCGTGGCCAGGGAAGAAATCTCGGCCGACATAGAGCACCTCACCACACGGTGCACTTTCGTGCTGTTCCCCTCCAAGATGCACACCGGTCCGCGGCCTTGAAGAACACTCGGCACTCGGGTGAGCCACCATCACCAAGTTGCCCCCTTGACTGTGCCCACCTGGCATCGCCCCGTAAGCTGCATCACTCACAGAGATCACGACCAGCTCGTCCAGGGGGCAGCCCAAATTTCGAACCTTGAAGGTGCCGCGCTCGCTTGACTCACGTAGGAGAGGTCGTATCGTCCTTGCCGAGCGGCCCGCAACTGTCCAACAATCGAACTGATCACTTTCTTCTCCGCCTCCGTCAACTGTTCCACGTTGGCGGGGAGCTGCTCCACTCGTTCCTGCAGGTAGTCCCACATGCAAGTCGGAGTCACCGGCAATCGGCTCGGACATCCACTCACTGTGCCCTGGCCCTTTCTCCTCCGCGGGCAAAGTCGTCGAGGAAGCCGTCGGCGTAGTCGTGGATGCCGTAGGTGCTGAGGATGGTCCGGACCTTGGGCTCGCCGTGGTTGAAGCCGGCGTGGAAGCCGTAGACGCCGAAGAAGTGGTTGTCGAAGGCCGCACCCGAGCGAACGGTATGGCCTTGGTGTACTCCTCCATGGAGTACTCCATCTCCAATGTCTCGGGATCTTGCCTTTCCCAACGGCCACAGAACTTGACCCAGCCATCGGTCGCCTTTCGCTGCTTGCCAAACTTCAACCTCATCCTCAGCTGATCCCAAATTTCTTGGGCCGTCTCATCGCCTGCATATCTTGTGTCGTCCACGTGGATGCTTGCCAGGGCCCGGACTCTGCGTCGAGGAGGAGGATGAAAGGCCCGGAAAACACCTGGAAGCAGGCTCATCTCCATCAAGCCCAAGTCCTGGATGGTGTCCTTGTACTCGAGGTACCACAAGCGCGGGCTCTCGGGCAAACCGAAGCCACCCTTTGTAAGCTCCACCAGATCGTCACGCACATCGTCACCCAGCTCGGCAACGAGGTAGTCGATGACTTCTGGGGGGTATCCCTTGGGCACCTTGACGTAGATGCGCTCTTTTCGGGGAAGCTCCTTGGTTTGAAGAAAGGCAGCGCTCACGTCCTCGAAATGCACCACCCATTTTTCTTGGACGGCCACAAAGTTGATCAAGTTGTGGCCCAGAATGCTGGCCGTCGGCGACGATGTGTCGTAGAGCCCCGCATCTGGATCTTTGTGTCCACCAAAGATCCACCTGGCCTTCAATTCAGCATCACTGAGCGTCGGACCGCCCTTGTTGGTCAAAACGAAGCGCGAGTCCAGCACTCTGGCCGGGTCCACCATCTGGCCTTTTGGCACGCCTTTGATGCCGTTGTGCTCCAAGTAAACGCCGACCGCCTTCTTCAAGGGGTCGATGTAGCTGCGCCGCCACTCATTGTCTAGCTTCGACCACTGGTACTCAGCCCGGGCCCGGCCTGTGACCACCTCCGTCACACCCTCCATCTCGGCACGGTGGAGGGAGGCACTCACTTCATAGATCTCGAGACCCCGGCCCACCTTGACGAGCCGTGACGAGCCCGTCCACAAAATCCATTGGCCGATCGTGTCATTGACGAGGGCCTCGAACTCGCCTGGCTTGAAGTAGGGAACCGCCAAATCGGCGGTTGCAGTCAACACATCCACGGTCGCAGCCTGAGAGGAACGGGCTCCATCATGTTACCGGGCCTGCCTCCCTTTCTTGGGAAGCTCATCCTTCCCCTTTCTCCGGATCACCTTCCGCACCGAGCGCACTTGCGCATAGGCCTGCTCCATGCGATTGCGCAGCTCGCCCTCCTGCAGCTTTGTCGGGGCTCCGAAGGTCTTGGACAACGCCTCATGCATGCGCTGCTTCTTCACGAAGTCCAAGGCGTGGGGATCCATCGAGGCCTCTTCCTGCCGCTTGCGTCGCTCTGCCAGGTTTCGTTGAACTGAAAACGGCACATCCTCCAGGAGCTTGGCTCGCCTTTCCCGCGCCTCGGTGTCCTCGTCAACCTCGGATGAGCTTCCGGAACTGCTGTCGCCCTCCTTCTCGTCGCTGACCTCCTCAAAGTCGACGATGACCTTCCGGCGCTTGGGCTGGGATCCTTGGTCGGCACCTTGAGCGGTCGAGCCAGGAGGATTCGGTCCAACCGCCTCCTCAGCCTGGACTGTGCCCTTGTTGAGCTCGGCCTCCACGTCCTTCAGCGCGTCCGTGATGAACTGCGAACTCGTCATCTCATCCGGGTCGCTAGCCGCTACCTGGATGAGTTCCCCCAGTCC